CCAGTTATTTTGCCAAGCTGGAATGTCAGAGACTTAGAGGCCAAGGGCCACCAAAAACAAAAACAAAAACCTAAAGAGTTGTGTCTCCCCTATGAGAGAATCTAAAGTACCTCCTCAAGTGGGCTACATTCTCAGATGAACCCCTAAACTGTTAGAATTAAGTTTAGGGTTATAAAGAAACAGACCACTGCTCCAACTGACTTGCCTTGACAAGGCTGAGCTTGACTCTTGTTCAAGAGTGTGCACAGCTCACACAAGCAGAGAAGCAGGACTTTAAAGAAATGTGTCATTTGTTAGAAGAGGTAAACTTCTCCCTTGAAGCCCTAAATTCACAGATAAAGGCTCTGGGAAGAAGGGAGAACTGGGTTTCCAATGTTCCTAAGCAACCAAAAAAGGTGGTTTTTCCTGTACATCAATTCAAATCTTTCCAGTCACTGAAAGTCATCATTCATAGCCTTGGGCTCCATATGCCAGTCACCTGTCCCTGACTCCAGCTCACTTCCCAAGTTCCAATCACAATTGGACAAAAGCCCATCCCAAAGACAGGGAATGTCTCTTTCCTCCCTGCAACTCTGCTTTCCTTTCTTTCCAATACCACGTCTGTCTTCCCTGGTTCACTTTCAGGTCCAACCACCAGCCAGGCTACATTGCCTACAGCAGGTAGCTGACACTGAGCAGATAGGAGGAGGGGAGGCTGGACACAGCCTCTGCACAAGCTGTGTAGCCTTGGGAAAACAGTTATATCTTGTGAGCCTCAGTTTTCACATCTGTGGAAAGGGGATGATGTTTACCTCATAGGCTACAGTGAAGGTTGATGCAAATCCATAGCACTGAAGAGAGTTGCTAGGCCATCACTATCCTTTGCATCTAAGAATACTTCCATGTCAACAGTACTCACTGTACCCCCATCATCTAGTGTAGCTAAAAGTTTTCCTGTGCCAACCCAGCTCCCACGTCCTCATGGTCCCACAGACACTCAGACCCAAATGAACACACAGAGGCTTATATTGATTACAAATTGTATGGCCTATTGGCTCAGGCTTCTTGATAGCTAGATCTTACATCTTAAATTAACCCATTTCTATGAATCTATACTTTGCCACGTGGCTCGTGGCTTACCAGTATCTTTATATCTTGCTTCTCATGGCGGAGACTGGCAGTGTCCTCTCTGTTCTGCCTTTCAACTTCCTCCTCTCTAGTTAGAATGTCCCGCCTAACCCTATTCTGCCTCACCATTGGCCCAACAGTTTTATTTATCAACCAATCAGAGCAACATATTTTCACAGCATACAAAAAGACATTCCCCCATCAATCTAGCTTTTGTGAATCTAGAAGAGTGAAATTATTCTGTATCAGCCACTGGCATGTACCAGTAAATTAACACATTTAGTCTCCTATTTATTAATTTAATCTCCCCCAAGAGCCCTACAAAATAGATACATTTGTGTCTATCTCACAGATGCTAAAACAAAGGCTTGGATTCACACTTTCTAGACTCACAGCCAGAGAAGACTAAGGACTGGATAAGGCTCCTCTTGGAGCAGAGGAGGAGGGGGTGGGATGAGAGAATTAGAGGAGGGTGGAGTAGGAGAAAGATGATCTTCATTGATAAATGCTCCATCCAAACCAAAAGAAAGAGAATAAGAAGAGGGGACAAAAGGGGCAGGAAAATACAAAACAAAAGAGAATGTGGAGTAATGGTGTTGCCCATGGCTGTGCAATCCTAAAGACCCTTAAAACTTTCTTCTTTCAACCTCCCATCCCACTGGACATAGGCCCCATCTGGTGTAGCACATATCCTTGAGTTTCAGAATAGAGCAGGCAGACAAGCTGAGCCCTCTGGCAGGTTCCTGAGGACAAGTATGCTGCTGGTTCCACAAAGCCTCCAGTGAAGAGCCTGGGCCTGGAAATTAGAGGTCTGGATTCTGCTCCTACTATGCAGTCACTCGGCCAAGGCCTCCCTGAGGGGTTCACTTTGCTCATCAGGTGCTCTATGAAGGGAGGAGAGGGAACGCTGTCAGCCATTCCTCACATTTAACGGGCAAATCTACATCTAACTCCTCCCTTGTCTCATATCCACCTCTGAGTTACAGAAAATTCCAGGGAAAGCATCACACATTGTCACAAGTGCTCTTGCTGTCTTTTCTTTATTTCACTTAAATTGGCCAACAAGGCAAGAAATGTCTTCTCCACACATTGCAAATATCCCAATAATTAAAAATGAGTAAATACCACTGAAACACCAGAAAGAGAGCAACCATCAATGATTCTATTGCTCATAATAGTACTGAAAGAGCCGCAAGGAAAAAACTCAGACACAGGGACACAGGTTTGTGCTCAAACAGAGGAGAAGGGTGATGTATGCATGATCATCTAATGATGCAACTCACACCTGTCCTCAGACCTTGACTAAGTTATATAAGAGAATTTATGAATGCCCCTGTGAGAACCAAGAAGCCTGGGTGAATGCGTACGGAACAAATAAAGTATGGAGTAGATTACAGAGTTTGACATGGGTACAACCATGTCAGACCCATGGAAATTCGGCAAGACCTTCCCCATAGGGGTCAGGCTCAGAAATGGCAAAGCCTTCCTCTGGACTGAGTGTGAACGTTGACAGTGTGTCCAAGCACAAGTGTTTACAAACAATTCCATCATTGTGTGCAAAAAAACTAGCAACTACAACTTCCTTCTCTCAATATTTACAGTATAAGACTACTTGCCTACAGAAACATCCTACCAAGACTAGCTAACTCTTCCTCCTGTGCTGTGCATAACAAAAGCACTAAGGAGTCGGCCCTTTTATTGTAGTAAGACATATTACTCCATCTGAGTGCACACAGCCCACCTGGCCCCAGCTTTTCTGTGTCAGTGTGCCCATCCTTTCTTTAGTGTCTGTTCTTCTTTCCCTTGCCACCTCCAGGCAGGCTTCCAGGACCAAGCCATGCAGGATGCAGCACATTCCTGAAGGAAGAGGACCTCTCAGGGTGCCTACTGCACAGGAGGTCCTGTGATAGATGCTTTTATCTCATGTATCTTTGCATCCATTCTGTGGGGAAGGGTCATCTCTTCATTGGCTTTCAGACCTCAAAATTTAACTCTGAAAAGGCCATAATGACTCCAAAGTCACTCAACCAAACAGGGGAGAGGCATGAAATTCAAGTCTCCATTCCCATCACAAGCAAAGCTAACCTTGCTTCTGTGAACACCGTCCTGGGGTTGAACTAAGGCTCACATAAAATGAGAGAATGAGCAGTTTAAGAGGGGTACTGTTGGCAACAGCTATTTTTTGCTGTCTGATATCCATTCAACACTCTCTTGACTAAATAGAAGCTATGCCCAGTGGGCATAATCTACCGAGTCACATGAAAAAAATCTCTGCTCTTTGTGACATTGGCTTCCATGTGGTAGGAAAAATGGCCACTAACAGTCATAGCACAAATCCTCCCACTTCAGTGACCCAGCCGATTTTTCTTGAGTTTATTTAAGCACACCCTTCTCTAAATCTACAGTGAATGTCCTACTCTGATTCTAATTTGACCAGTTGGGGCCAAATACAGTTTTAGGGACCAATAGCATCACCATGCAAAATATATAATGTTCCATTAAATTTAAAATCCAGATAGACAACAGTTTCTTGTGTATGTTCCATGCACTATTTCAGATTCACTTATAATAAAAGAACATAATCTCACTTATCTGAAATTCAAAGTTAGCTGGGTCTTATTTCAGGTTTTATGGCCATTATTTTGCTAATTCTGGCAAATCGCTCAACCATAAGGCCGGAATAGGTGAAATAGAAGGATTTTTATCACATCTGAAGATCATGTCCACCCCAGCACTAAAGTCCAACTCATTAAAGACACATGTTCCCTGAAGAAAACCAGGTACACACTAGAAGAAGAAGGATGGACATCTAGCAGCCAAACACAGCAGATGTGCCCAAAATTGAAGTGGGTGTGGCTATGGAAAAGGACCATATGTTTTTGAAGGGAGGGGGACTGTGGGCCGGCTGAGTGGGGAAAGAAGCTTGTGCCGACTCCTTCTCAACCTTCCAAGTTTGTGTTTTTACCCATACACATTTGCCAGATTGCTTGAAAAAGGCAACAGCTGTGAAAACTGACAGTTTACAGTTGTGAGAAATCGCATTAGTGAAGTATTTCAATTAAAGTGATATCGAACTAAAAAACAAGAAGTCATCGCTGAACAAATAAATTAGCACTTCAATTCACGGAGCCTTCAAGTGGAAGATTTCAACGGTATCTACCTGCTGTATTGCTGCAGTTCCTGATGCTGCTGGTGTAGGAATGAAAGGCTCATAGGTCTTGCTAGAGAAGAGCAATTAGTCAGGGCCAGTCTGTAACTAGGCATTTATTTCATTCCTGACCAACAGCCAAACTTGTCTCAGATCAGCCTGTAACATCCCTCTTGTATGTCAGAAAGCCTTCCTGGGGGGTCCCGACCCAGCCCACTAGCAGGGTGGCCAGGCCACACCCGGGCTGGGCTCTCTTTCCCAAGCCAATTCATCTACATCTATAACACTTTTTAAAGCAACTCAGAGACCTGTCTTCCAGCAGATGCTTTTTCCACTCAGTTTAAAGAGTCATTCGCCTGCAGGAAATGAATTCGGGGAACCACTGCTCCCTTGCTCTTTCAGGGTCAGGGCCAGCTCAGCCCACACACTGCAGGCATCTGAGCCCTACAAAGGCCTTCTGTCAGCCTGGCCTCCTTTCCCTCCCCACCCATTCTCCTCCTCCAAAATCACACTCAGTTCTCCAAATTCCCCCACTCCAGCCTAATTCTCTGCAGAATCTTTCCTCTGCCAGCTAGTGATTCGGGCCTAATTAGGTGGCTGCTTTCATTTACTATAGTAGTTGGAAGAGGGGCTAAAACAGCATCGCCCCTATTCATGTTGGAAAAATAAAGTATGCCCATTGTTATTCAAGATCATCCTTTCCCCACCCCACCCCCACCCCCAATCAAGCAAATTAGCGGCATGGTTCATTTTCCTAGCATTCACTTCAGAGCAGTCAGCAGCTAGCTCCCCGGAATGTGGCTTGAAGCTTGTGTGGTCAGTACAATTGTTTGGAGCTGTTTGTGCCAACAATGGGAGGCAATGCCTGTCTTCCAAAGGACACCGAGTGGCACTTGTCTTCCTTAGCCTAAGGAGGTCTTCTTACCAGCTGCAGCCAAGCCGTGCTTCTCAGGAAGATGTACACCGCCATCTATTGGGCATGGAGGTTAACAGCAATGCTTTCCCACCCAACATTTGCTCGAGGCCACTAAAGGACAGACAACAAAGCTTCCGGTAAGTTTCTAAAAATAAGCTGATTCTTTGTACCTCAGAATGAGACAACGTTGGCCTCTAAGGCTGCAATGGAAGTGCAGTGCAACGCATGAATTATGTCTCCGCTGCTGGGCGCTTTCCATGGTGCTGATTTTCAGACCTCAGACAGGACTGGTGGCTGGCATTGTCTGAAGGAGCTTGAGGCCCACCACTTCTCCATCCGATCTCAACTATCCTGGGCATCAGCACTTCTGGGCAATGGCTCTTATCTTAGAAGCCTTCCCAACACCCTTCTCTCGAGTAAAAGCAAGCCCAATTTATTTCAAAGACCACAAGGTAGAGGCATTCAAAAGTTTCCTGAATGCAGGGACACTTGCTAGTGGACCAAGGATCAAATATTAAGTCTCTTTGGAGCCTGGATTCTGAGACAGGGGCATACACTACCCAACTCTTGACAATGCATGCTTTACTTTCTTTTTATATGATGCCATTCTATATACACAAAGGACACACTTATCTTTAAAAAAAAAAAATCCTGATTTACTGAATTTGTGTAGAGGAGGAAGAACATATGCAGCAAATATACCCCAGTATGGAAGGTTTGATCTGTAGTTCCCCACCAGGGTAACTGGCAATGCCACCCATACCCAAGAGACTTTGGTACCATATTGGAACATATTGGATTGACACAACTTGACAGAGCGTGGAACATCCTATGGCATTCAGGAGAGACCCACCACATACACACACACACACACACACACACACACACACACACACACACACACACACACAGAGCAAAGAATTACCCAGCCCAAACTGTCAATAGCACAGATGCTCAAGAAGCCTGGTGTAGGGTAAAAAAAGATCGCCCTCTGGTAATGGGGTTATGATAACATTGATTGTTCTCAAATGAGCCACACCGCAGAGACGGGGATAATTCGCCCTTTCCCAAGTCGGTATTTACTGCCTTTTTTTCTTCTTTAGACTCTCCCATTTTAAACATAATTTAGCTGTCTTTTTTTTTTCCTTGTGCTGCTGGGAAGAGAAAGGACTGGAGGGGGGAGGGGAAGGTGAAAAGAAAAAGAGGATTAGAGGCTTGACCTGCTTCTCGGGAAGAGCCGCCACATTCCTCTCTCAGATGTGCTTTGTGACCAGGCAGGGTACAATTAAAAGCACAATAATTTGCTTGTTATTCAAGTCAGGCATTAGTCCGGGTAATGGCGTGCTTGGTGGAGAGATGGATTTCCTTGTTAGGCTCTAAGCACAGGATTAACTGAATTCTCCATGGAGAAATCTTGATTTGTTCAAGGTCTTTCATGTTTTCTACAGAGAAGGGATTATGTCTTCTTAAAGAGGGGCCTTGCTTAAAAAGCTACAAAGTATAAGAAAAGGATTTAGGGCAGAGGGGCCTGTGGTTAAGTAGCTGAGGGGTACAGGGAATTTTAGAGCAAGGGATTATTTAAAGCCATAAAGTTCAAAAAATAATTGGTTTAGCACTACTGGGTCAGTGCTGGCAAGCGTACAGTAAGGCAGTTAAGCATGGGCTAATATTCATTTTACTTTGGCTAATTATTGCATGGATCCAGGAGAGGAGGAAGGAGAGCATGCGCGCTCCCTCCCTGGCAATCAGGAAGTGTGTTATCTTTGGTGTCCGTGCCTGGCAGACTTGCTTTTTATGTTGGGATGTCCAGAATGTAAGAATCACAGAAGTGTTACTTAAAACACAGGCACTATTGTCTTGGGATGGGCCTGCTATCCCAGAAGCACAGTACAAAAACACTACTAGCTTTTTGGTTTGATTTTTAGGGTGCTGAAGGTGGAGCGCACGGCCTGGCACATGCTAGGCAAGTGCTCTACTACTGAGCTGCGTCCCCCAGCCCCCAACAACCCAGTTTTAAGTCTACTGACACAATCAGCCAGCCAGAGAGGATATGAAGTAAAACCCTGACTTCCCCTGTTACCAGATTAAGTCAGTGAGTCTCAACCAGGAGCAACTTTGTTACACTCCCAGAGCTGTTTTTGTTACCTCTAGAAAGATGCCTCTGATATCAAACTGCAGAGGCTGAAGGGTCTGTTAAATAGACCATAATCCATCCTCTCTCCCCCACAGCCATAATTCACATGACCAACCATTTTTCTACTTTACTTCCCTTTTCATTACTGGGTATTTCTACAAATCAAGAAAGAAGGGTGTTGCCTTTGATATACTAATGTTAAACCTGAAAACCATGAGGAGAAAAGACCAAATCCACAATTGACCAACTAAAGCAAGCTGTATTTTGGGGTGCACCTGGGACTGGCCAGCTGGCTGTCTCACCCTAAGAGCGGCCCCTGCTGGCCTCCTGAGGTCCTTTTTATAGGATAAGATGGTCATGGGGTGAGAGAGTTGACTGATATACACTGTTACAAAAATACAACAAAAGGGTGCTGTGGATAGCACTCTGTATAAACAAAATGCTGATTGGCCAGTAGCCAGGCAGGAAGTATAGGCAGGACAAGCAGAGAGGAGAATTCTGGGAGGAGGAAGGCTAAGACAGAAAGATGCTGCCAGTCGCCGCCATGAGTACCAACATGTAAGATACTGGTAAGCCACGAGCCGTGTGGCAAGGTATAGATTTATAGAAATGGGTTCATTTAAGATATAAGAACGGATAGCAAGCAGCCTGTCACGGCCATACAATTTATAAGTAATATAAGTCTCTGTGTGTTTACTTGGTTGGGTTTGAGCGGCTGCGGGACTGGCAGGTGAGCGAGATTTGTCCTGACCATGGGCCAGGCAGGACCAGAGAAACTCAAGCTACAAAGGGGAGAAACAAGGAAAAGGCTAGATAGACATCATGTGAACGGGGGCTTGAGTTTAGTGGAGGTGGAAAAACATGTTTTGCTGTTTACTAAACAGGAATTTACTCTTAATTACAAACAGAAACTTTAACTTGCAAGGACTTAACACTGGGCAAACAGGAAATTATTCTTTAACTACAAACAGAACCCTCAACCTGCACAGGACAGACAGGGACTTACCCTTAACTGTCTTAACTACAAACAAAAACCTGAACCTGCAAGGCATATGTTCCTGTTTTGGATTGCATGTGACAGACAAAACATATCCCCCTTCCATGACTGATGCACACCCAAGGAAGGAAAATGCTAGCTCCTGCATCCTCCCCAGATGCAGGTGACTGAGGACTTGCACTCCCGTCTCTGAGATTATTCATTCTTCTCTGCGGAAAGGGGGAAGGATGTTCAGTCATCATTTGTCCTGCAGCTTTAACCGGGTTGAGAGCCCACAGCCACAAGATATCCATTTTCTCCCTAGTGAATGATGATTCTCTTCCCAAGGGAAGTTAACACCTTTGACAGGAGCTTCCAGGAAGCTCATTAAAGCCAAGAGGCTGAGAATCAGCATAGCCATCACCTCTCTGGGAGCCTGAGGATACACTTAACCTGCACCTCAAGGATGCCAAAGGGAGTTAAAGAGGAAGTCAGAGAGTCCCTTGAAATAAAAGGCGAACACATCCAAACTAGGCCCCTGACATTCAGCAGGCAGACACAGGGTGGCTGTAAAGAGGGGAAAATCACCTTCTTCCCAGGAGCCTCCTGTTCCCTGTATCCTCTAAGGCTGGTTGACAGCTTTGTAGTCATGGGCTTCTGTTCACTCTCCACCCAGTGGTTTTTCTCTACAATCCTGACAAATTCTATCAAGTCATACCCTCCTGGCCTCGAGGCATAACAAAGGCCTTTATCTTCTTCCCCATCCTCCTCCGGTATATCTATTCTTCACCCTAAAACTCACAGGTCCACTGGTCCTGACCACCTCTCACTGTTCCTCCATCTTGTCGCATTCTTCATCTTCTCTCAAAGCCAGGCCAACCACAGCTGGCCTCCACATCTCCACTGACTCCACTGGTCCCCTCTTACATCTCTCTCACAACTGCCTTCTTTACAATGGTCTCCTTCTCCGTATCTATGGGTCTGCTCCCTCACATCCTTCCATTCTCCTGGGATACTCATCCTCTTCCTTTTAGGCCTTGTCTTTACCATCTTGAAATATAAGAGAAAAAATGTATTTTTGAGCCTTTAAGAAGGTAGATTCAAGGGTCTTTTTTTTTTAATTATTGATATCTTGAGACAAGTACAGCTCCTGGATCCAGGAGGCACTCAAACATAAGCTGAATAACTGAGGAATTGGACTAAGTTACTTATGTTCACATCACCCAATTCCTGATTCCTGATACATAACTGAATAATAGAACCCTGATAAAAGGCTCTAGACCATGATCTACAAGAATAATTAATATGTCTCCCAGGGGCATTTGCAATGCTGCTTGTTTGTTTGTTAGTTAGTTTGTTTGTTTGTTTGTTTGTTTGTTTGTTTGTTTGAGACAAGGTTTCTTTGTGTAGCCTTGGCTGTCCTGGAACTTGCTTTGTAGACCAGGCTGGCCTTGAACTCATAGATTCACCTGCCTCTGCCTCCCAAGTGCTGGGATTAAAGTGTGGGCCACCACTGCTGCTGCTTATTTTTTAATTTTGGTAAAATAAACATTATAAAATTTACTGTCTTACCCATTTTTAAGTATAAGGTTCAGTACCATTAATGTGTAATCTTTATAACCTTTCCATCTTGCAAAACTGAAACTCTATATCCATCAAGCAATAGTTCCCCAAGCCCAAGCCCTTGATGCCCACCATCTACCTCCCAAAAGCGTCTCTAGAAATACTGTTGTGGGATATTTGTGCACTGTGTGAAGATATTGTTGTGACTGGTTTAATAAAGAGCTGAATGGCCAATGGCTAGGCAGGAAGTATAGGTGAGACTTCCGGGCAGAAAGAGGAAGTAGGAGGAGACAGTCGAGGTGCGGAGGAGATGACAATGAGACATGGAGGGAGTCGCACATACAGAATGAAAGAAAGGTAAAAAGCCATATGGTAAAATGTAGATTAATAAAAGCAGGTTAATTTAAGTTATAAGAGCTAGTGGGACAAGCTTAATCTAAGGCTTACTTTTTATAATTAATAAT